TTTATCCATTCACCCATGCATGAGCATTTGGGCTGTTATCACCTTTTGGCTATTATGAACAGTGCCTGTGATGAACATGGGTGAATATATGCTTGGGTTCCTGTTTTAAATTCTAAGTTTAACTATTTGAGAAACTGCAAAAATGTTTTGCGCAGCTGCTGGACCATGCTGCATGCCCACAAGCAATATACAAGGATTCCAATTTCTCCACACCTCGTCCCATATTTGTTACTTCACCTTTTTTTAAGTGGTAGCCAACCTACCATTTAGAAAATACGTTGTTGCGGTACCTCACTGTGGCTTTCATTTACATTTCCCTATAAATTAATGATGCTGACTGAGCATTGTTCCATTGCTTGTTGACCATTTACACATCTTCTTTGCAGTAATGTCTATTCAAGTCCTTTGCCTATGTTTTAATTGGGTTATCTTCTTGTTGTTGAATTATAAGAGTTCTTTTCATATTCTGGATAATGGAGTTTTATCAGATATACAATTTAAAAATATTTCTTCCCATTCTGTGAACTGTCTTTTCACTTTCTTGATAATGTCCTTATTAGCTTTTGTTCATCTGGGTATGTCTTAACTTCTTCATTTCAGAATGACAGTTACAGCCAATATAGAACTCTTGGCTGACAGTATTTTTCTTTCGCCATTTTTTTTTTTTTTTTTTTTTTTTTTTCTTTTACCGTGTCCGGCAACGGATCGCAACCCTCAGTGTCGCCCCCGTACCGGACCGGGACCGGCAACGGGATTGCAACCCTCGGTGTTGCCCCCGCGCCTCGCTCAGCCAGTGAGTGGCCGGTCTGTATGTGGGATCCGAACCCTCGGGCGGGAGCGCCGCCGCGCTTCCCAAGCGGTGCACTATCCAGTGTGCCACCGGGCCGGCCCCTTCTTTCGCCATTTTAAAAATGTCACTCACCCTCTTCAGACTGCCATGGTTTCTGATAAAATCTTATTGAGGATCCCTTGTACATGACCAGGCACTTCTCTCTTGCTGCTTCCAGGATGTTCTCTTAGTCTTTGGGTTTCAACAGTCTGATTACGTGTCTTGGTATGGGTCTCTTTATGCTTATCCTTCTCGGGGTTCACTTAACTTCTTGAATGTACAGATTCAGGTCTTTCATCACTTTTATAGTTTTCAGTGACTATTCCTTCAAAGATTCTCTCTGTGCTTTCTGTCTGTCCTGCCCTTCTAGAATTCCTAGTGTGTGTGTGTGTGTGTTGGTGCACTTGATGCTGTTCCACAGGTCTCTTAAGCACTGTTCATTTTTCCTCATTCTTTCTGCTTTTCAAACTGGATAATTTCAATTGATCTAGGCTTAAATTAAGTTCACTGTTCTTTCTCCAGCCTGCTCAAATCTGCTATTCAACCCTCTAGTGAGTTTTTGTTTTCATTTACTGTACTACCCTGCTCCTGAATCCTTTTGCTTCCTCTGTGTCACTGCTCCACCTACACTGGCACTCTCCACTTGCTCACACGTCATTCTAATTCCCAGTACCTTTCAGCAATTTCTCCGTGGTCTCTTTTACCTTTCTGGGCACTAATGTAAGCTCCTTGCCTGGTAAGACAATATCTGGGCATCCTCAGGGTCAGTGTCTACTCATTTTCTCTGTGAACAGGGCACAAACTTTGTTACTTCACATGCTTTGTAATATTTTGTGGAAAACTGGACATTTGAATACTATAATCAGGCAATTTTGGAAATCAGGTATTTCTCCCTCCTCGGGTTAGTTCTGCTGCTTGCCATGTGCTGTGGCTGTGTTTGTTCAGTGATTTTTCTGAGCTATTTTGTAAAGTGTTCATTCTTTGTTATGTGTGGCCACTCTCATTAGCCTGTATCCAACCAGTGTATCAGAAGAAATTTCCTTGAATGTGAGGAGCTTAAGAAGAGAAAAATAAAGACAAAAAAAAAAAAAAGAAGAAATAAACAGAACTATAAAACAAAACCTCTCCAGTCCTTGTGCGGAGCCCTCCTTCAGGACTCGGCCAGGCCACGTACAACTCTGCCTCAACCTTGCTCCTGCTGCACAGCCTAGTGATCGGCCAAAGGCAAGAGACATTCTCAGGTCTGTTCTGAGCATTCCTCCAGTTCTCAGCTTGCAAATGGCTTTCGAAATTCCCCAGTATACACAGGCACTTCTGAATGCCCAAATTTCCCAAAGATACTGTCTCCCCAGCTTTTCCTGCCTGGCATTTGACACTACTGTATGTATCAACTGTAATCTTTCACCCCAGGCTACTCCGGGTTGTTCATTAGCCTGCATATGTTTGAAAAATGCCTATTCCTTTACACTAAGTTAGGTGAACAAAAGACCAGTACCTTGGGTCAGTCCTTCAAGTAGCTCCCAGACTGGTCAGAAGGCCAAGCACAATTCTTTTTAATGGACTATGTATGCTCTGCAAACTGGGAACTCGGACTACATCTTCAGGACTAGTACCTTGCTAGGGAAGAGTTGAGATTAAAGCAATCATACAAAAAAAAGCTTTCCTACAGATTTTTAAGTTGCCTTTTCCTGATTCAGCAATTGCTTGGGTGCTATCAACCTCTGACTGTTTTCCAGAGTTCTAACAAAGTTAGGATAGCTTCTGCTTGATTTTTCGACATAAATGAAAGAGCTAAATCTATAAAACTCCTAGAAGAAAACACAGAAGTAAATCTTTTTAAAGTTCAGTTGGCACATTGTTTCTCTGACACAATACAAAAAGCACAAGCAGCAAAAGAAAAAAAACACGTAATGGACTTCATCAATATTAAAAATGTTTATACATCAGATGAGACCATCAAGGAAGTGAAAATATAACCCACAGAATTGCAGAAGATACTTGCAAGCATACATCTGCCAAGGGACTTAAATCCAGAGTATCAAAAGAACTCTTACAACTCAATAACTAAAAGACAAGTAACCCAGTTAAAAAGTGGGCAAAGGATCTGAACAGACATTTACCCAAAGAAAATATACAAATGAAAAATAAGCATGTGAAAAGCTACTAAACATCATTAGTCATTAGGGCAATGCAGATCAAAACCACAAGATACTACTTCACATCCACTACAATCAAAAAGCATTGGCTACAATTAAAAAGGCAGACAGTAACAAGGGTTGGTGAGAACGTGGAGAATTTGGAACCCTCATAAATTGCTGGTGAGAATGTAAAACAATGTGGCAAATTAGGAAAATAGGTTGGCATCTCTTCAAAATGCTAAAACATAGAGTTTCATATAATCCAGAACTTTCACTCCTAGGTATACATCCAAGAGAAATGAAAATATTCACCCAAAAGCTTGTACAGAAATGTTCATAGCAGCATTATTCACAATAGTCACAAAGTAGAAACAACCCAAATGTCCATCCACTGATGAATGGATAAACAAAATGTGGTGTAAAATCCAGTGGAATATTTGGCGGCAAAAAAAAAAAAAAGTACCGATACATGCTTCAACATGAATGAACCCTGAAAACATACCTAGTGAAAAAAGTCCATATACTGCATGATTTCATTTGTACAAAATGTCCAGAAAAGGAAAAACCACAGAGACAGAAAATCGACTAGTGGAGGCCTGGGGCTGGGTAGGGAGAGAAGGGGCAAGAATGAGAAGTGACTGCTAATGTATTCAGTGTTTCTTTTTGGAATGTTAAAAATGTTCTAAAATTAGATCATGATAACAGTTGCACAACTTTAAATATACCAAAAACCAATGAACTGTATACTTTAAGTGAATGAACTTTATGTTTTATGAAATACAGCCCAATAGCTCATAAAAACAAATAAATTTTGAAGGAATTACTTCAAGTAAATAACTCGTACATGTCCACATATACACAGAAGATATAAACAAAATCCACTCCTTTAAACTTTATTTTTAAACAGACTTTGGGGTTACTATTAACATCCACTTAGTTTTAAGTGTTCCTCTCATTGCCAAGGTGTAATGGCCACTTTTCTACTGTCATGAGGCCTATTCGTAACAGTTTCTCACATTCTTTTCCTAACATATTGCTTCTTTTTCTACGATGCACTGAAAAATCAGATAAACAAGCTCTTTAAGAACATAAGTTAAGCAAGTTTAAAGCCCTGAACAAAGGTAAAGGAAAAATGTGCTTGTCAGTTACCATATTACAATCATAACATTCATTTCAGGTGCTCAAGGCCTTTTTACTTACATATAGTTAAAGGCCATGATAGAGATGTCTGACCTTCATGAGTGTGTTTAAAATATAATACAAAAATGAAATTTTAGATAAACTGATATTATGTTTCAAAGAAAATGTGTATACAACAGTTGGGTTTCACATGTGTCTGAGTACTGTAATAGAGATCAACATATAATTATTAATATATTTTCATATGCATATGTGTTTGTATGTGCATGTAATATGTGTATATATGTATGTATATAAAAATGTAAATATATACACACATACATATATAAATATAAATATATACACATATATACATCCAAGTATCTAGTGAATAAAAAAAAAAATCTACCCTGAAATTTGCATGTATTACATATTATAGGAAAATTAATTAGATACTACTTTGGATTGATCAAACTGTGTCCCTTAGAGTTCATATATTAGCGTAATTCCCACTGTAACTGTTGAGGGTAGAAGATCCTATTATGGTAATTGAAAGGTAGGCCTTGAATAGGTGATTATATTGTAGGACCATGCTGTAGTGAATGGATTAATAATGGTGGTCAGAGGCATGGTTCTGGGGCTCTAATAGGAGAGTGCATGAGGAACTCTCTCTCTCTCTCTGCTCCACCATATGAGACCCCTAGGTCAGTGTCACCACCACCAAGGCTTTCACCTAATGTGTTCTCTGGACTTTGGATTTCCCAGCCTCCAAAACTGTAAGTAATAAATTTCGTTTTCTCTACTCGCATAATACTATTTCAATGACAGAATTAGGACATGTTCTCTTGCATTTGTTAACTCTAAAATGATTACATTAAGCATATGCTGAGTAGGCTTAAAAGTGTCTTGCTAACCTCTTACTGTAAGCTTGCTGTATAGTTGTGAATTCATCTCCTTGTCTCGCTGAAAACGACGAAATTCATCAATTGCTTCCCGAGTGAGAGTAACAGCTAAGACAAATCCCTGTAAAACAAAATAAAGTGTTTTAGAAACTGAACTTTAACAAAAAAATAAGGGAAAATTCTTATTACTTAGTTTTATTTTTCCCTTCAATTTATATTACACTCTAAAACATAAAGTAAATGAAAACAAAGAGAACAAGACAAAACAACGAAATACTACAAAAGGAATGTAATACATAATAAAAGATTTACAACTCTTAGTAAGAAAAAATTTAAATTCACATCGTAATATGTATTTCACATTAAACATCAAAAAATACTTAGTAACCCAAAGAAAAAAATTAGCAATCTTTAATAAATCCATAAATTATAAATAGAACACTCAGGCATTCAAATGTCGAATCAACAATGACTGACATAAATCTTATACTTAATTTCTGCACTTAAATCCTTCTGATAGAATAAAAGCATTTAGGAACACAAAATAATTCCCAGATACAATACTCATGCTGATCAATTTTCTTACATAGTACATTATTATACAACTGCATTGGAGAGCACAGTTATAGTTATCAAAGTTTTTCATCTCACTTTTTAAGTAAAAATCTGAATAGATTAATTTGATGCTACCTAAATGAAACTTTAATATACTTGTTATCTACTGGGAAACCTGTCTGTCTCTTTTAAAGACTGCACATGTATTTTGTGACACACTGCATGACTAAATAAAGAAACCTCTTCAACAGTCTTCTTACTACTGATGACCTTGCTTTAATCTACTTTGTAAATAACAGAACACTGCATGAATTTCCATTGAAAGGACAATAATCTCTTATTCCAGCTTTTTTTTTTTTTTCTGTATAACCAATAGGCTAAATTAAGTGGGCCCCCTGAGACTGTTTCTTGTACCATTACTGAAAAGGTATTTTTCTCAAGTATCCTTTAAGTGGCATGTATTCCTCCAGTCTCCCTTCCCGTTCAAAATCAACCTGATGACCTTATGTCTGTCCCCTCTCTACAGCTCAAGTCTATGTGACTCCAAATGTCTCTATGTCACTTTCCATCTGCCTTGCTGAGCCTCTCCATGACCTGCAGCCATCTCTCCCCAAGCACACCTGTGTCTTCTTCTCCCTTAGTCTACACTGGTGCAGGGGAAACCTTTGCACATCCTGTTTACTCCCCAATTCAACACATGTCCTTTCACCCCAGTCAACTGAGACTACTCTCAAATGAGGTGGACCATCTAAACAACCCCCCCCTCTGTGTACAGCCCTGTTCACCACCTCCTCTTCCTCTCCAACTCCTCTGCTTCTGACACCCTGCCACTCCTCTGTATCCATACAATCACCCCTCAATGCTGGCACTGCCACCACCCATAAATAATGCCACAATGTCTTCCTCCAGCTCTGTGCTTCCCGTGCGTCTCTCCAGCCCGACGCTCTCAGGCCTTCCTCAGCCCGCCCTAAGTTACCACATTGAGACAGTGTTCCCTTTCCCAGCCTTGTTCCCCTCAAAATCATCCTCCGGGGATGGGAAACCTTTGGTGGCTCCCCACTATTTATGCCCCTTTCACCAAAGTGCCATGCTCCCGCAACCTTAAGAATGACAAATCTCGTGCCTTGTCTCCCACTCCAGGCTGCTTGACCTCCCACACCCGGGACCATGAGCAGTCTCCTGAAATACCATGAGGTACCCCATCTGACCTTTACCAATGTATTTCCAGTAGTTACTGAAAGGACTGTTTTGAGAAGTATCCTAAAGCCACCCTTGGACTCACTGAAAAAGAAGCCACAAACAACTGATGTATCCATGTGCAAAGAAGGATGGCATGGGTCTGCATGTGCCCGTCTTTGCCACAGGAAGATAACCAGCCTACAGGGTGGAATGAGACCTCACCTAGGCCTTCAGCACACACTGTATTCTTTTTTTAATAACAGCTGTGTTGATACATAATTCACATGCCATAAAATTTAAACTATAATTTGTTATTTTTTAGTACATTCACAGAGTTATGCAACTATCACTACCATTTAACTTTAGAATATCTTCATCATCCAAAAAGAAACACCCATAACCATTAGCAGTTACCTCTCACTGCGTCTGCCTCCCAGCCCTGGCAGCAACTAATCTACTTTCTGTCTCTATGAATTTACCTATTCTGGGTGATACAGTAACTATATATTTAGATTTGGAACTACCAGTTGTTCTCCAAAGCAGCTGCACCACTTTACAGACCCATCAGCAGTAAGCACAGGTTCCAACTTCACAGCCTTGCCAACACCTGTCACTATCTGCCCATTTGATTGCAGCCATCCTATGGGTATAAAGTGGTATCTTGTGGTTTTAGTCTGCATTTCCCTAGAGACTAATAATGGTGAACAAATTTCCATGTGCCTATCAGCCATTTGTGTACCTTGCTTGGGTAAATGTCTATTCAGATCCTTCACCCACTGTTTAATTTGAAAGTTGAGTTGTAGTTCTTTTTTTTATTCTGAATACACAATATCTTGTTAGATATATGATTTACAAATATGATCTTATATTTTCTCCCATGCTGGGTTATCTTTTTACTTTCTCAATGGTGTCCTCTCCTGCACAAAAGCTTCTAATTTTAATAAAATCTAACTTACTATTTTTTTCTTTTGTCACTTGGACTTTTGGTGTACAAGGTCATGAAGATTTGCCTATACAATTTCTTCTAGGAGTGTTACACTTTCAGCTCCTACATTTAGGTTTGTAACCCATCTTACTTTTTGTGTACAATGTGAGGTAGGGGTCCAACTTTGTTTTTTTGTATGTGGATATCCAGTTGTCCCAATGTAAGGTAATGCTGGACACAGACCTATATCCCCCTTCCCTGTGCATACCAGTTTCCCCTCCCCCCTGGGAAACTATTTTAAAGACAAATGGAAGTCAGTAGGAAGTGAGATCTCTGAGTAAATTGATTAGCATGTAAATGGAGTTAGAACACTAGTGTTAACTATTCTGTTGCCAGGAGGGGTCAACTTATCTACTCAGCCAGATCTCCTGCAAGATCTGAGTCTGGTGAGGGGCACATAAGCATGCAAATGATTTACAGCTCTACTTTGATCTATTCACTATATAACTGTTGTATGTACCCCATGGGAGGGTGGATTTCTAGCTGACTGGCCACCACCTCCCTAAGTCTAATAAACCAATGTCTCTACCTACGGCAATATTGGATGAGTTTCTTTGGAACAGGAGAACACTAAGTGAGTGCCCTTCAGATTTGGAGCTCCCGTGACACACCCAGAATCATTTCTGGAAAAAACTACTCTTTCTCCGTGGAACTGTCTTGCTGCCTGACAGAGTTTGGATATGTTGTCTCCCCAAAGCTCATGTCAAAATCTGGTCTCCAACTTGGCAATGTTGGAAGCAGTTTGGGTCATGGGGGTGGATCCCTCATGAATCTCTCTCTCTCTCTCTCTCTCACCACATGATCTGCTTAGCGTTGTCTCCCCAAAGCTCATGTCAAAATCTGGTCTCCAACTTGGCAATGTTGGAAGCAGTTTGGGTCATGGGGGGTGGATCCCTCATGAATCTCTCTCTCTCTCTCTCTCTCACCACATGATCTGCTTAGCGGCCTGCCACTTTCCACCATGAGTAGAGGCAGTCTGAGGCTTGCAACAGATGCAGCTGTCCCATCATCATCCAAATAAACCTCTGTTCTTTATAAATTACCCAGTCTCAGGTATTCTGTTATACCAACACAAAATGGAATAATACAATGCCCTTGCTAAAAATCCATTTGTCGTAAATGTAAAGATTTATTTTTGGACTCTCAATCATATTCCATTGATCTACATACCTGTCCATACGTCAGTAGCACACTGTCTTGATTACTGTAGTTTGTAGTAAGTTTTGAAATGAGGAGGTGTGAGTCCTCCTACTCTGATCTCCTTTTCTAGGATGCATCAGCTACTCTGGGTCCCTTGCATTTTCCTATCAATTTTAAGATCAGCTTGTCAATTTTTGCAAAACAAACCAGCTGGGATTGGGTTGAATCTGCAGACGAAGGTGGAGAGTACTGCCATCTTAACAATACTAAGTTTTTCAACTCATGAACATGTGATGACTTTCTATTTACTCAGATCATCTTTAATTTTTTTCAAAAATGTTTTGTAGTTTTCAGTAATCTTTCACTTTAGCTAAATTTATTCCTATGTATTTTTTTCTTTTTGATACTATTATAAATGGAATTGCTACCCTAATTTCATTTTTGGATGGTCACTGCCAGCGTATAGAAATACAAATCATTTTTGTATACTTATCCTGTATCCTGCAATCTTGCTAACTCATTTTTTAGTTCCAATATTTGTGTGTGTGTGGATTCCTTAGGTTTTCCTGTACACAAGATCATGCTGTCTGTGAACAGAGAGAGAGCCTCTCTTCTTCCTGGCCATCTAGATGCCTTTTATTTCTTTTTCTTGCCTACCTGCCCTACTCATACTACCTTCGACATAATGTTGAATAGAAGTGGTTGGAGGAGACATCCTCATTCCTCATACTGAGGGAAAGCATTCGGTATTTTACCAGTAAGAGGGATGTTGGTGCGGGAAGTACAAAGTTTTAAGAGCAGAAGAGATCTTTATATTATAATCAAATGTCTCTGTAACAGAATGAAGAATACACTATAGGGAATTATGGCCAGCTTCTCCAATGCTAATAACTTTGCCGTGACAAAGCAGCAATGAAGTAAAAGTGGTTATCAAAGAACCTGTTTAGAGACAAAAAAAGAACTTGAATATAACTCATTATTTTATTAGAATTAAAGTTAGCAAAGATAAGAATAAATACGAGAAGCCAAAGCAGCGGACAGCCCCCCAAAAAGCCTTTAGAAATTTGGTATTATCAAAAGCCTTAAAATTTACACATATTTAACCAAGCAGTTTCACTTCTCAAAACTTACCCTAAAGGAAAAAAATCCAGGATCCCAACATAAATATGAGTAACTAGAAATAACCTGAATGTACACAAATAAGAAATTCACGGTAAACTCATAAAGAAACACTATATTTCCTTGATTCAAAGATGCCACTGGTTTTAAGACACATTATTATTATTTTAGTAATAGTTTTGGATGGGAAGAAAATGTACACATTGTAAGTCAAAGCTCAACTTTGGTAACATGAAAAAATTACATGTTTGAATCCAGAAAATACACTTCTCCAGCCCTTCCCATGTAGGCGAATTTTTACTGTTAAAGCCTCATGTTCATGATGTAGAAGTAATTTATTAACATCCTATTTACAACTGATTCATCTTGGGAGACAAGAGAATAAGGGCAATTGCCAAGCATATTTTGTTTACATATTGTAGTCAGTATTTTAAAGAAATGGTTTTTAATCAGGTGACCACATTGTACTCACCTGGGAAGATTTTTCTCAACACCGATTTGCTCAGGCTCTACCTGACATGTGTACCAGTACCTCTCATTTCCAGGGAACAGGCCCCAGACATATATGTTACTTACACTCTCCACCTGACTCTAATGTTCACCCCTTTAGACTACAGCTTAAAGACAGCAAAATTTAACTCTGAATTCATTAAGTAATTATGAACCACAAGAATATGCTATTTCCTAGTGCTTCTAAGAACTCAAAGCGTCAAGTGAAAATCAGCTCCCTCTTCTAATGGAGTAATATTAGAAAAGATGGAATGAAAAGCATCTCAACTTCTGAAAACAAGAGTGATACACTCTTAAGAGGAAACAGAACCCTGGTCACAGGCAAAACTGCTTTACAACACATTCCAAATCTAAGGTTTATCTGAATAAATAACAGATGTGTAGGGTCAGCAACAGCCAAGAGGTGTCACCACCATCACATCTGTCTCCAGCATATCTACTCTGAGAACATACCCTATGGCCAGACTAAGAACATAAAGTAGACTGAAGGAAAGGGAAGTCAATGCCACTATTTCCTTCTAAACCACCAGAGTCTATGTAACTGGGCATCTGCTTTATGGGTTTAGATTTTCTGAGTTCCTAGTTGGAACCTAAAAAATTGGTGATTTATAGAAGATTTGGATAAGCAAGTCTCATGGCAGGAGTAGTTGGGTCTTCCCATAACTATAGTACCAACCAAGTCGGAGACTTAAGTTACAGTCCTGCTCCCTAAAAAAAATCAAAACTGGGCCGGCCTGGTGGCACACTGCTACAGTGCGCCGCTTGGGAGCACGGCGGCGCTCCCGCCGAGGGTTTGGATCCCACATACAGACTGGTTCCCGCTCACTGGCTGAGCGAGGTGCGGGCGAAAAGCCGAGGGTTGCGATCCCGTTGCCGGTCCCGGTCCGGTACGGGCGCGACACTGAGGGTTGCGATCCGTTGCCGGACACGAAAAAAGACAAAAAGGAAAAAAAAATTTAAAAATAAATAAATAAATAAAATAAATAAATAAATCAAAACTGGAAACAAAAAAGGCCACAGTGAAATGCTGTCGTCATGGAAATGCAGAATCTGTGCATGAGCCTGTTAGTCAGACTGAACAGCAGGGGCGTCTCATTTGGCCAGTTGACTGCCTTTCTCCTATTTCTCCAAACAGCCATGTGGACCAAATGCCAAAACAAAATAAATTTTTTTAATAAGAGAAAAAATTCCACTGGTATATTATCAGTTACCTTTCATGGTTTATCACATGCCGTACACTTTTCCAGGTATCTTAAATAAGCGACCTCTTTTAAATGCCACAAAAACCTTATGACACATGTACTTCTACCTCTAATTTACAGATAAGGAAACCGAGTTACAAAACGAGTCAGTAACTCTGCCAAGGCCACACAGCTCACTAACAGTGGTTTTCTCTGGACGGCAGGGCCCCAAAGTACACTGCAGCTAGTTTTGCCTTTCCTTCTCATACTTCACCCATACCGCTAGTGCAGACAATCACAAAAAAGAATGGAAAGAAGGAAGGGTTTTAAAATCAGACTGAAAATCAGAGTCCACATAGATGGATTCCTCGCCATACAGTCTACCTGGTTCCTAGTTATGTATCAATGAAGTAACAGGAAGATATATTATACAGAAGATACAGTGTTAAAAATCAACACAGCCAGATTTCCCTTTATCTAAAAAACCTTCCACATGGATTTATCTACTCCTTCTTATTAATTTTGATAGAAGCATTACAATCTGTTTTGTTACTCTGATGACACAAGCTTTGCCTCGAAGACCTGTTTTGAAAGCCGAACAACACAAAAGGTAATCTCCATTCTGACATGATAATGTAATGAAATCATTTTATTTCCAGTTATTCTTCTGTTATATTGGAAAATATGACAAATTAGTTCAGAGCTAAAGCTAATAAATAATATTGCTGGGAGTAATGGAAAAGGAAAGATTATTAAGTAAGCTATCACTGTTTTCAAAAACATCCCAATTTTAACTGATACCTTCTTGTTTAACAACCTCACAGAACCTTAGAGAGCAAGCAAAAAGAAAGATGCCAAAAATGTCAATGTACTTAAAGATCACATGCTATGACAGGTCCTGGGCATAATGGGGTTAAAATTGTTACAGAAAGAGCAAAAACTCAAGGGCTTACAAAGAGATCTTTGCTGAAGAACATTTCCTTTGGTTAAAACAGATACACATATGTAATCTAGAATTTGCATTCTTTTAAATAGTTTTCTTTAAAGAAGTTTCTTTAGATTTAGATATGTTAAAGGTTCTTCAACTATGCTTAGATTAATAAAAAGATCTTCTTTATTTAATGTTTATGGATTTTCAAAGTTTTTAAAAATTTTCTGAAGTGAGCCTGGATCAAAGAACCAATATACCCTAAAAGGCAGCTTTTTGGATTTGAAGGTGAGCCTAATGTGCACATCAGCTTTCTAAGATTTTTGCTGAATCAAAGGTTAAAGTGCATACAAACAGTGGAAGCATACAGCATGCATACTAACAATATTCACCATCTGTTATCTGAGAGAAGTCATCAATTGTGGCTGCTGCCAAACCAAGGAACGAAAGAAAATCATTTTAAAAAGTAGATTATTTCTGAGATCTAACAGTATAATACCCAGGATAGAAGAGAACTTATCTATGTGTGTCAGAGGCAACATTCAGCATTACTTAACTCGAAAGAAAGGGCTTTTCACTTCTCTTTGTAACACTTAAGACACAATTCATATGATACTGAAGTTGTTTCTTCCTGAGATACTTATCTAAACACAATTAAAGTTAATTCTTACATGTCAAAAAATGATAATGTACTTCAAAAAACCTAAGGCTGAAAATTCAAACTAAGGAACTTAAAATTGAAGCTAGAACTGGACATGAGTACTTGTATGAAAATAAAGTACAGAAATGTTTTATTGTCTTGGTGAATATACACACTCACACTTCGCTTCAGGTATGGCCAAGATAATCAATTTTATAAACAGATCAAATAAAATTCTTCATGAAAAATCCATCTAAAGGACATTTTCTTTAAAAGGTACTTAAATCAGAGTTGATAAGAACAAAAGGCAAAAAGCAAAATACAGAGGATTTTCCTTTAGATTTTTAAGAATCTGTGTTCTCAGACTATCATTTTTTAAGTTAAAATAAATTTTAATCCAGAATGCAAATAATATTTAAGTGGTAAATAAAATTGTGTAAAGCTACGAATCGAAAAAAGGGGCTAGAAATAGAAACATTAAAATCATAAATATGGTCATGTTTTTAGTATTACCAAGTATTTTCTCTGTGCTCTTAAATTTCTATAATGCTATAGTGCTTTTATTATTACATGGAAGAAATCAGCAGCACTCTTTAAATGAGACTTCCAGGGAGTATACAACTGATAGAAGCCTTCGCACATGTGCATAAGGAATCGTAAGGAACCATCAACAATCAAATAGCTCATTACAGCAAAGTTTGTAATAGCTAAAAATAAGAAACAACCTAGAAGTTTCCTTTCTGAAGAGAAAAGACAAATCAGTTGTGATATATTCATAAAATGGAATACTTCAGAGAAGTGAAAAATGAATGAAGTAGATGTACATATGTGCCAACATGGATCAATTTTCTAAACCAAAGGTAAGCCAAAAGAGCATGCTGCAATAGGACACACAAAGTAAGACAACCTTCATAAAATTTTCTAAAGCATGTAAAGAAAGATTGTATATTGTTTCAGTGATACATACATAAGTAAAATTATTAAGAGATACACAGCAATTATAATCTCACATTCAGAACAGAGGTTGGGGTGTCAAGAGAGTAACTGAACAGACCCCACCACCCCCAGCATCATTCCCAGAAGCTACATCAGCACAGGAAAGAACTGTGCCAGGATGACCCTCTGCACCAGCAATGGCACACTGCAACTTCTCCAGCTGAGGAGGCCCACAGGTCCCCGCAGCCCTGCAGGCAGCGCACTACTGATACATTTCCTACAGGGAGCAAAAGAACGGAAGCCACAGAACTCAGTAAAATCTTTTAACAGAAGTTCAATGATACACAGCAATGATACTGTGTTTAAAAATCTGGTCAGTTTCTTTCAACAGTCTCAACTCTTAAAACTATATTCTAAATATTTAATAATTTAACTTAATTTTAAAAGTCTTTTCTTTTACCAGAGGAGCCCAGTAGGTGTAGAGATAGCCTATTTTCAATGCTGGTACAAACTGCGAGCAGGATACTACCAGAAAATAGAGATTCAAGAAAAACTTGAATTGTTCATACAGCACCTAAAAAGGAAAAGAGAAAATTAACACAATCCCTCAAATGAAAATTTGAATATCTCATTTAAAATCAACACAACACATAACCACACTTCCATCAAACAGTGGCTTTCCAATAGCTATACCACATATAAAGAAAGATAAGGTTACCCCAAAATTTTACTTAAAATAAACTAAAAAAGAAAAGATAATTAGAACTTTAACTATGTTAAAAGTGTCCTCTAGAAGTTTTTTACTTTTCTTATATGAAATGTTCAGTTTTCTGCACTCATCTATAAATTTTACATGCACATCAAAGTAAATGAGATAGCAAAACATTCCCAATGTTAGCAAGTCAGTAAATACACAAATGTGTATCTTGACAACAACTCAGAAAATATTAACGATGCAGTAGTCATATGAACCTTATATCTTTGAAATGGTAAAAAAAAAAAAATATTTAATAGCCATTTTTTTTAACGCGGACATCGGGTAGCTTTACAAAGACCAAGTGAAAAAGCCAAACATGCACAGGTGCGACCTCAGGAGACAAACTACCTTAGTCTCCCTGTATTTACTTCCCTCAAAACAAAAAATGATAGAATATAAAAGTATGTAAATCACACACCCATTTTCACGAAGACAACTGCCTACATATTCTTTATAGTCTTTGGTAGTTGACCTTTAACAATATTTTCAAATGTAAAATAAATTTCACCATTCGATAAAATTTTAGGAATGTCAAGACTGAAGTGTTTTGTTTTTGTTTTTAATTCAAATAGAATTATCTTTAAGGAAGAAAACCCAAGATCGAGTATATTAATAGACCTCTATTTACAAATGCCTCAAGATCAAACTTACAAACCTGCAACTTCCAAATCACAACCTCTCTGGATGCCTTTTTTTTTCTTTTTGGCAGCTGGTTGGTACGGGGATCCGAACCTGGATTCTTTTACACAACATGGAAGATTTGGAAATCTGAACAAGAGCAGGGCAGCGGCAAGTACCTATTCTTGACTTAAAGAGTCTGGAACAACAGTTTTTAGCTTTCTGCATCGTCATACAGCTACGAGTGTGAATAAAAAATCAGTTACACCAATAACATGTTTACATTCATGATCATGTTCAACTGCTATCCAAAACTGTTTTGAATTGTTTCATAAATTAATATCAGCAGGAAAGAAAGCTCTCGTTTTCTTCAATGATTCCTTTAAAATCTCGGTTAGCACAAATATATCTATTAGTAGCTCAGAAATTGCATTTGTGCTAAAAGTGGAAGAGAATTCCTGCTGCGTAGTTACCAGATGTTTCTAAAATACTACACTTCGGATGAAAAGACTGACTTCAGAGACAGTCTAAGAAAAACATGATACACATGGTAATTACTTCACACACATCAACAGGTATTTTCAGGATACAACCAGTCTGGGCAGGCTGTGTGAGTTACTTTGACCAAAGTTAAGCTGCACTGTTGGCTGTAAGCCACTGTAATCAATACTTTGCCATCTACCAAAGGAACTTGGTGACCTTTAGGAAAACGTATATGACTGGGCAATCTGTGAGTACTTAATAATTTAAACCTAAGGAGAAAACAGTGGCTTCATTCAATAAAGATGATGATATTTATCAGTCCGAAAGACAGCCTACATTTTATTGAACTGACAAAATATCAGTCTTTTAATAACGAAGCCATTAGTTTTGTGTGCTTTAATAAAGCAACACATAAATATCAAGCATTTGCTAACCAATGAATGGATGGGGGATAGGAGGATCAATGCCCAATAAAAAGTCAGCACTATTATTTAAATTAGAATATACAAGATAAAGCAGCCCTCATTGCATGGAATCAAGAGTATTTCTTGCAAAATAAGAGCTAGTACCTAGAACATGACAAAACTTTGACACAGAAATATAATCAGTACCAGATCCCTTTGCCTTTAGAAAGATAAATAAATATGTCTATTAAGATAGGAAATTTGGGCTGGAAGGTTAGCTCAGTTGGTTAGAGCATGGGTTTGGATCCGCATATCAGCCAGGTGCCAAAAAAAAAAGGGAGATAGGGGAAAAACATACAAAAAGTAAAATATACTCAGCAATTCTGAACACATGTAAACTTGGTTTTATAATTTAAGCCAGAAATATCACTAACATAAAATGTAATAAAATATTTAAATGTCAGTATTTAAATTTAGCATAATGACTAATTAAAAACAACTAATAATATAACAATATAACAAGGCCTGACATCTATGTATAAATACTTATATTATAGATCTTTTGTTACTTTGTCATTTTTACATAAAAATTGTTTTACTTTCTTTGTCAAATTCCTTAGCAGGCTTTACACATTACATTCTACTTTTCCCTCCAAATTCCTAGCCAAACAAAATTTATGACTTATTTTCTAATAATTTCACTTAGCTTTACTTCATTATTTCTACAGTATTATAATTCTACAATAATATAAATATGACATTTATCAAGAACTGAAGACAATAACCAAATTGTAAATTTCCTTGAGTTGAACTCTATGATGTAGCCATTAAAAATGTGTGTGAATTAGGGCCGGACCTGTGGCTCACTAGGGAGAGTGCGGTGCTGGTAGCGCCAAGGCCGCGGGTTCGGATCCTATATAAGGGATGGCTGGTGCGCTCACTGAGCGTGGTACAGACCACACTGTACCAAGGGTTGCGATCCCCTTACCGGTCAGAAAAAGAAAAAAAAAAGTGTATGAATTACTTGGCAATTATTTGAAACATGGACAGTTCAAAAGCAAAGGCACTGACTTGTAAATGACATAATTAATAGCTAAATAAGAGTTTCAACAGGCTTCTTCATAACACAAGTGAAGCCAGCACGCTCTGACACAGAGCCCACCTTCAAGAACATAATGATCTTACCCCAGGTATGAAGGTGAATATATTGTATTTTTGATTCTTTATAGAATTCCTGGGATGTTTTTCTTCACACTTTTCAGGACACCCGAGCCATACTGTGCGAGCTTTCAGTTCTTTCTTCGTTTGACAGATATTCATCAGCCAATCACAGCAACTGCATCAAACAAAAGATACACATTGTGTATGTTTTTTTTAAAGTTTAAACTAATTCTACATATTTTGAGCCAATATTAATTGTTTCTGTATTTAAGACATTAATAGCAGACCTATGGCTAATTTGTGGGATTTTTCTTAAAATAGGTCAGTTATGGGCCGGCCCGGTGGCGCACTGGAGAGTGCGCCGCTTGGGAGCACGGCGGCACTCCCGCCGAGGGTTCGGATCCCATGTGGAGACCGGTTCCCGCTCACTGGCTGAGCGCGGTGCGGGCGCAACACCGAAGGTTGTGATCCCGTTGCCGGTCCCCAGTGCGGGCGTGACACCGAGGGTTGCGATCCCGTTACCGGTCAGTAAAAAAAAGACAAAAAGGAAAAAAAAAAAAAGGTCAGTTATACAAATTTAAATTTGACATAAAAATATAATCTTGTTTAAATGTACAGTGACTTCTAGAACCCCAGGGAAATTATCTTCCCTGTTTAGACACTCTTATTGGCAAAATAAAACCATTAATATTTGGAAGCAGTCAATACTCTGATGTGATGATAAATGTCCTTAGATACTAATTAATTCAGGATGTGGCTCTCTTTCTTTTCTGAAGTAATCACTTCTTTCCACTCTTAAAAAATGACTTTTCCAGTAGCATTAACTAATACAATATTAAGACTTATGGCTCAATTCGGTTTTTAAAAAGGATACTAATGTTTAACACGATGTTCTAATAATAATAAAAGATTGATTGTATTTCTACAAAGCTATCTTCACCTGTGCAATAAATATTTTAATTCTAAATTTACCCTGTTCCAGTAGTGTCAGGCTTCCAGAAGAAGAAACTCTTCTCCTTCCTGGCCATCTAAACCATTATTTTGGGGTAGAGAGTATAAAGTTTCCAACAGAATAACTTTTCTTAAAATACCACAGAAAATGATGAAAAGGTATCAAATTCATTACTATTAAGCACAAAATGATTATGAACTGAAACTTCAATATCAAAAATTTGGTTTAACTCAAATTTCCAATATGTAAAGAAAGACTCAGAATGGTTTATTAAGGGAAGTTGTTAAATCTCATCTTCTAAATGTATTCAACACTAGAAGAGCAAGCCAGCTGTGTATGTCAGAAATTCTTAACTTCACTTTTGTAACACAGCTTAAAAGTTAAGGTAAAATTTTCCATGCAAATGACAGTATAGAAGGTATGATTTAAAATGTGGCTGATGTATCTGAACTCACATCTCAGAATCACTGTGTCCGCCATGCTGGGGTGCTATCCTTTTACTCCAGTCAAACTGACGTCACTCGTTAGAAGTCACTTTACAAACATTAGAAACTTAGACACATCACTTTATAAATCTCCCACGGTAGAACTTGTGGCACTATGGCTAATGTTGGAATCCTGCTGATGTTGCCAATTGTTACACTCTTTTACCTGCCCGTAATACTGCCAACTGGGCCAACTGTAAAGCTTTTTATCCTGTTCATGATGCCAACTGTAAAGCTACATGACCACGCCAGTTGTCAGGCTCTTTTACCTGCCAGTAATCCTGCACTGACTGGGCCAATTGTCAGGCTAGGGCTGGGTCTGGAGCTCACAGACCCCTCAAGCTCATTCACAGACTGGGTCACAAACCTTTCATACACCAGGCTGGGTCACCAGACCCCACACACACCAGGCTGGGTCACCAGACTTTCCACATGCAGTTCTATGAGCTAGGTAACTGGCCAAACAGGTCCTTGGAGCTATAGGTTGGAGAGAGCATGGTTGCTTGTGCAGTGGTGGCCACCGGCTGAGGCAATCAACCGCCAGCCAGCCTGCTTCACAAACTCTCAAGAACACAAGAATAGCAACAAAACTAAAAAGATACATTGGCATGCATGAGCACTAACTCTACACACACACACAATTTGCTTACAAAGGATGTGCTGAACCACACCCAACCGGACCAAGGCAAGGGTCCTGACCAAACTGTTCTATTTTCCCAACACACTCCACATGAAGGAATGTGTGTGTGTGTAAACTGAAGTCAGTACCATCCCCACTGAACACCCGCCTAACTCTTGGCTGTGCTCAGAAGGTCACACTGCAAGGATAGAGGGAGGCTTCAGAGCTGCCTGACCCTCACGGTGTGGGCACATGTCACAGTACCGCAGGACTGCCAAGCACAGCTGCCTTGAGAAGCTTCCCTGATGCAATGCCAAGGGGACAGCCACACAGGCCAGCTCCAGCATCATTACTGCCACCCTTTGGCTTCAACTGGAGCAAAGAAAGACCCAACTCTGCCAGAACAGAAATTTCTTAGCACTGCCCATTATCAGTTTTTAAACAATAAATACAAACACCTCCACATGAAAAGCATACTTTTAAGTCCCTAACAATACGCGCGCGCGCATGCGCGCGCAGTGTGTGTGTGTGTGTGTGTGTGTGTGTGTGTGTGTGTGTGTGTGCGGTAAAGGGATCGCAACCCTTGGCTTGGTGTCGCCCACACTGTGCTGAGCCAGTGAGCGCACCGGCCATCTCTATATAGGATCCGAACCCGCGGCGGGAGCGCCACTGCTCTCCCGAGTGTGCCACGGGGCCGGCCCCCTAACAGTTCTAATCAGGATATTATTCAAAGGGATTTAAGATGGTAAAAATTAAGTATTCTCACAATTACTGTTGTGAGGTGGTGGAGAAAGGAGAACTGTCAAGAAGATTTCAATAAAATGTTGACAATATTTTATCTTGTTTATGCTTGCAACAAAAATTAAATAAAGCTTCAAATAGAATATAATAAGCTTCGGATAGCTGTTTCTCACCTTAGTGTTGCTTTCACTGCACAGTCCGATCCCTCACTAGGCTCCTTCACCTGGAGGCCCCCACCTTGCTGTACCCATGCATTCTATGTAATCAATACTCTCCTCTACCCCAATTCACTATTCTCCCAGCCAGCTGAGTACTCCTGCCCTAGCTCTTCCCAGCAGCAGCTCTAAATTATCAGTCTTCTATCTGGTCACAACATGTACTCCCATGTTATGAAAATCTTACAGTTATGCTATGAGGGGATTCTTTCTTAAACTTGAGACTTAATCATCATCTCGAACGATGCAACTACACTGTGCAGATGCTAAATTCTCACATATTACGCATGAGAAAACTGGAGGCAGGCAGGCAGGCATGCAAGTGACTCTTCTGAGACTAAACAACCAGCTAATGGCAGGTTGAAAACACAGTCTGGATCTCAACCCCCTCATCAATACAGCATGTCCATCCCACCGTATTAATATCAGTCCGAGGCCAACTGCTACTCATTTTGGTAAACTGCCTTTCTTCAGCCATGTACATCGCACAGTGGCCACTCAATAAATGACTGAAATAAATGAGCAGGTGACAAAACTCAGTGGAAAAGACATGGTCTTTAAAGTCATGGTTTTGGAGGCAATTGCCAGCCAGTGGCTTTGGGAAGCTGCCTGGTCTGAGTCCTGTTTCCTTGTCTGCAAAGTCCCAAACCCCCAGCACAAAAGCCTTCCACAGAGTCAGTCTTCCACAAGCTCTGCTGCCATGCTGCTGCCATGCTTCTGCCTCCCATACCCCATTCCAAAAGTCACCACCCTTACAACAAGGAGTATCCAACCCTGTACTGGCCAACAGAGTATCCACTGGCCACATGTGGCTATTTTAGTTTTGATTAAATAAAATTTAAAATCTAGTTCCTCAGTCACACTAGCCACAGTTCAAGAGCTCCAGCTACCTTGGCCAGTGGCTACCATATTGGACATCACAGAGCTAGACTATTCCCATCATTGTAGTGAGCTATGGAACAGCACTGGTAAGCACAAAACGCACTATGAGCAGGTGCCACAGGTGAAATACACACTTCTCTTCCACATTTTCAGTACTGCAAAAATTCCTCAGGAATGTGTTCAGATACAAATTTTTGTTCTGCAACACATAATTATCTAGTCTGATGTTTTAATATACAAAAGCCAGACAAATCTAAGATAAAATAGGGGATTGACAAAGCTAAGTACTCGCAAAAATACACATAAAATTTAGGAAATGGGAAGTTTACAGTGTTTATCTGATATCAACGTACTCTCCTACAGACAAAAGATACCATAAATGCAAAACCACTGTCTCTCTAACATGAGCGCTGTCGACAGCAGCTAGAAATGAAACATTAACATCAACACCACTGTCAGCAACTACTTGAACTAATGTCTCACTGACATCAGTCTCACTACATGAACACTAAATAAAATACCAACAGCTAAAAACATATATATTCAACATTTATTCATTTTTTTCTCTATAACCCTTTATAAATAAATGTAAGTTTCTAGACTTTCAAGATATAATTGTAAGTTATTCATACCACTTTGCTACTAACACCTATTAAACAAAAGTGTTATTACTAATTATTTATTGTGTACAGACAGAATCAAGGAGTCGTTAGGGATCCACTATCAAATCACATGCTGCTTCACAGAACTGAAGGAAGACACTTACAATAGGCTTGAGGTTTGAAAAGCCTGGGGCTCCACTGGACTTGCTTGCCATTGGATTAGCTTGCCATTAGATTATGCAGACAGAAAATGCTATCAGAAGGGGAAATCGGGTGACATAAATGCTAAGAGCAAAAGATATAAATCCCAAAGATAAAGAAAACACTTGTAAAGATAGAAGTATGTATAAGCCTTATTGAGTTGTAGAGCTAAGGAGGAAAATAAGATTATGGGAAATTTTTGAGGGGAAAATAGTGTGACAGAAACATTGACAAATACTGAAAAACAAGAAGGCGAATCAAAGAGAAGTCCTTGGAAGAAAATAACTAGGAGCTTTACTTAATAAGATTTCTATGTATGCTGAATATTTTCTAAATTATTGTTATTCAGAAAAACACTTTCCCACTTACATATAAATTGCTTTACACTGTCAAGTCCAATAGTGTACAAATTATACTTTTTCTTAAAATGTTTTAGAATCACAGCTTTTCACAAATGTCTCTATAATCAAAGTAATAC